CTCCTCCCCCCTCCGGGGCGCCCCGCCCGGCTCCGGCTCCCGCACCTGCTCCGCGACCAGCGCGGAAGATTCCAGCGGCCGCGCTCCGCAGCGCCACCTGCCGGCGGAGGGGGGGGCAGGCCTTAAAGGGGCCGCGTCCCCCGAAAGAGGAGGAGGGAGGAGAGGCTTTTTTTGGCCAACTCCCTTTACTAAACTGCAGGCAGGAGTCCGTCCGGTCAAGCCGGTGAGGCCCTCCCCCCCTTCCTCACAGCTGTTCTCCAATTCTATGGCCCCGATGTGACACGAGTAAACGACGACGTGTGGTAGCCAAAGGTAGACTTTATGCCAATAAAGGTTGAAAAAAAAAAAAAAGGTAGACTGCGTCTGAACAGGGAGGTTCTAGCCAAGCAATCCATGGATCTCCCCCCCCCATCTTTTCCAAATAGAAACCTGGCCACTGGTTCCATAAGGGCTAGGGACTTGTTTATTTAAAGCAAGGAAGAGAGCTTGGGGGCAGGTCCCCGTTTTGGACTACGAGTCCCAAAATCCCCTACCCATCCGAGGGAGTGGGGTTTCAGGCCCTGCCGCTTTCGCAGCCTCTCAACCCGGGATGGGCCCCCCGAGTGCGACGGCAAGACCTGAGTTAGTGGGTCAAAACAGGCCTCCCTCTTGCAAACCAGCTCAGGGTGAGCTTTGCAGAACCTGAGTTGCTCAATCCCCTTTTCCTTCCTCCTCAGTCAAAATCACCCGGTCCAGATATTTTGCATTCCTTACGGAAAAGGGCCACCCGATAGAATGGGTTGGAGAAGCTTTGGCTGGACCACCTATAATGTCTGACTTCCCCCCCCTCCTTTCAGCCACAAAAGAACTATTATTTAAACCACTTCACTATTGGGGGCTGTGTTGAAATATATTTTTAACAATATATCCACACACACCCCTTTTCTTGCAGAGGTTCAAACACAGCTTTGTCAGAAGCACTGATACATGGTGACCCAAAGCTTTCTTTAAAATAAATAAATACAAATAAATCTTCTTCTAGGCTTCGTCTTCGGCCTTCCTGCCGCGGAGGGCTATTAAACTCTGCGGCTGTTGAGAAAGCTGGTGAGATCTCAGGATCCCGTCCCGTCTCTCTCCTCCTCAAAGGCTCAACACAAAAGCCATTTTTTCTCCCAGTGGAAGGAAGGGGGGAAAAATAAACCAACCCCAAGAAAGCGATAGAAAGGGGAGAGAAGCGCCAGCCGCAAGTTCGTTGACCTGAATCCTCGGCATAGGATTCCCCAAGCATCTCTCCATTAGCAAAGACGCCCGCCAGCGGCTCTTAAGCCTCTTCCTCCTGCTTTGCTCTCTCAGGCAGGCAAAAACCTTTCCTTGCGGCCAAAGAGTAAAAAAATAAATAAATCCAGAGCACAGGACCGGACGAGGCTTTTTTCTTGTAGTCTATTCGAATCATGCTGGGCGCTCCCTTGGCCTGGAATGGGCTGAAGAATGCTGTGTAGCCCCAGCCCTGCCCACCACCGCCAAAGTCGAGCCCAAGAAGACCCACCCAGAAGGCACCCCTCCTGCTCGGCCAGCTGGGGCGTTCTG